ATAAGGCAGTTTGACTTAAACAATTTGTTTAAATGTACAACAATGTAATAACACTATAATTATTGGATTATCAATAAAATAAAAGATTTCTATACAAGGGTTTGTATATTTATCCCATAATAATAATGAGCTGGGTTTTAATTTATACTTGCTAGAATAACATCAAGTAAATTTTTGAAACAGATTACTTGGTGACTATGCCACTTAAAATGGGAAGATTCCATTGCCCTTTGTAGGGACAGATTTAAGCTGATAACAGCATAGCTCTATTACAACAGAGTAGGAACTTGTAAAATTATATGATAAGTACCACATTTGTGAATATAACTCACTTGTAGCTGATATATTGATATAACATATACCTTTATTCTTAACTGTTAAGCTTGAGTAAATAAAAACCTTGGAATCTTCCAGCAAAACACTAGAGCTTGCACTCTAAGACTTAAACTTGACCTCTTACAAGAAATCTGACGACTATAGCTTAACATGTAGTTTAGTGTTACATATTTCCTGTGTAGCTCATTCACCACAATTTACGTACAACACATTGAAGCAATGTTCTACGGCTTTTTATTTCCTTGCATTATAAAATTTTTTGAAAGTAGTAAAGTTTTTGTAGTATTGACCACAAGATCTGGTTAATAACAATAAATTAAATTATTTTTAGATATTGTAATTTAAGTGCAACTTTGTAAACATCTCATAGGTACTTAATATACATTGGCGGGTTATAATAGTTATTTAACGAGTTTTCTGCTTTTTGAAAACATACTGACTAGGTGTTGTAGTGTCACTTTTTCTTTTACGCAGTTTCTCGACATTTCGCAATAAGTCTTCATCTGAAACATCTTTTTTCATATCTCCGTAACCGTTTTTAATTGCATTTTCTAGCTCCATCAATCGTTCAATCTCCGGGTTCATACCTTTAAAAGATAACCTCCCTTCTAACAAATCTTCGCAGTATATAAAACTAGCTTCAGATACATAATTTCCGGTTGCACTTCTCATCTCATTTGTTATTATGTTTGAGTACAACTCTTCATGACCTTTTGTATTTTCTAATTCCTTTTCTATCCTATCTTTAGAGCGCTTCATAAATTTCATATCCAAAACAGATTTCGGTAACTGCAATTTTTTCTTCGACATTTGCGACATTGTTAACTGCTTATCCACAACAACTTGGTTTACAAAAGGCGCAACAAGTTAAAATTTACGTATGATAAAATAATAACCAGGTTAGGAAAGCAATCACCTAATTCCAAAAGAACACCCCACACAATTCGAAAAATATCAAAAAACCATTCAAGAACAAAACAACATGCAACATGGAACAAACGTCTTGTTGACAGTTCATTTGACAGCTGTCAGCTGACATTCTGCTAAACAGATAGATTATTTTTCTATAATGTAAAAATATTTCTATAAAGTGAAATGTTTTAGTTTTTGATTTTGATTTCAAATAATTTTCAAAGTACAATTTTATAACTTTTTGAGTTTTTGGATTTTCTTGAATTTACAATAATTCGGCAGGCAGCAAGCATATGGCTACATATCCAATGTTTACCACTCAATCCTCACTTTCTCACCCTTCATCCGAACCTGTCACTGTCACTGTCATTGTGTAATTTAATTGTTATGTCAATATCATGCTTGTTTTCCCTGCGTTTGTGATTTAGTCATATTTTATAAAATGTTGTTGATTTGTACAATTTAACTGTTTGTAAAATTGAGATAAATGTCTTGTAGTACTCAATATTAAACACGACAGTTATCACAATGCAAGTATCAGAAATTGATAATGTAAAAATTTATAACCTTAGCGCGGGGAAATCTTTGCCGGACGTAAGTTTTAATTTGTATTCTTATATTTAAAACTATATTGTATTCGTTTGAACTATAATGTAATACGCTAACACCAGGTACTTCTTTTGTTGTATGAGAACGCAAAGTATTTTCTGTTTATTTATTTGTTCAATTGAACAGGCTAATTAGCCTACTTTTTAGAAATCCTTTTTGGTTAATAACTCCGCTCATCTAATACACAATATAATATTATTATTATTATATTATATTATTATTTTTCTTACAGTGGTTATCAGAAAGAAAAAAGAGAGCAATACTTAAGAAAAATGTTGATCTTAGAAGAAGAATTGAACTTATTCAAGAGTTTGACATGCCAGGCGTCAGTACAAGTATTAGGGCGTCTGCAGATGGACAGTACATAATGGCAACTGGAATATATAAACCAAGAGTTAAATGTTATGATGTAAATAATTTATCACTCAAATTTGAGAGATGCTTGGATGCTGAAGTTGTTACATTTGAAATACTAAGCGAAGATTATACAAAGGTAAGGGTACACTGTACTACAGTAGATATAGATATAAATAATCTAGCGCCAAACTACTATTCTGCCTGATCAATGAATTGTGGTTTCTATGTTCAGAACATCATGTTAGTTGTTGCCCAAAGCATAATATTAGGTATAGCGGGATCTAAGGGGATGGAAAAAGTCATTGCACAGTGCACAAGTGATCTTGAATCACTAAATTATTAGTAAAGATGTATACCTTGTAATAAACTTTCTAAAAACAGTCACCAGTATGTTTATAATAATAATAATAAGTATTTTACATATGATTGTCATATTTATATTATTTTAAATATCTTCAATTTTTATAAAAACCATTAAATTATTTCACAGATTGTTTTTCTACAATGTGACAGATATGTTGAGTTTCATGTTGGACATGGTAGGCACTATCGGCTGAGAGTACCACATTTTGGAAGAGACATTGCTTACCACAAGCCTTCATGTGATCTGTTTGTTGTGGGGGCTTCAAATGTAAGTTATTTCATACTACTAGACTAAAGAAAATATAATGCAACATTAAGCTATGAGAAAGACAAGATAACTTAATAGTAAATATATATTATTACTTCACCAAAGCTTTAAACAAGAGTTTTGTTTAAATTCTTCTTATGTTTCCACAAATCCACAATTATTCCCTGTTAATACTCATTTTTGTTAAACTTTTTAAATCCTTCATTTTTCTTCCAGGAAGTGTACAGGTTAAATTTGGAAGTAGGACAATTCATGGCTCCTTATGTTACTAAAGCAAATGAAATAAACACTTGCGCAGTAAATGAAGAGCATGGCTTACTTGTGATTGGCACAGAGAGTGGACAAGTTGAGGCGTGGGACCCACGTACTAAGTCGCGACAGGGGTTATTAGATTGTGCATTACACTGCTCAGATGTTGGCAATACGTAAGTTAATTTTTTTTTATACAATAGGGTGGCAAAGGAGTGAGCGGCTACCTGAACAATAATAGCTTAATATTCAATCATTATGGAAAGAATGTTAATGTATAATAATATCCACTTTTCACTATATTTCTGTATGATAAAAAAACTATAACAAAATATAGCCACTAATTAATGAAGCTTTTGTGGGTTAAAAATATTTGTTTATTATAATTACCTATGGCTGGTGACTTAGAAAAATTTCCTTAATTATATTTTCAACAATTTTATAATTTTCAGAAGTCTACCTGCAATAACAAAATTGAAATTCAACGGCGCTCTACAACTAGGAGTTGGGTCATCTTCAGGACATGTCCTATTATATGACATCAGGTCAAGTAAACCACTGATAGTAAAGGATCACATGAACGAAATACCCATCAAGAATATAGAGTTCCATAAACAAATGAACTATGTTTACTCTATGGATTCGTTAGTTTTGAAAATATGGGACAGCAATAATGTATGTATAAAAATATTCATTAAATCTCAACCATTTAGATGTACATAAATTTACTGCTTTACGCCATTTACTGAGGTGACCATTTACATTGTCACAAAATCTGTACTGATTTATACTATTTATAAAAAGTTATTTATAAAAATTCTAAAACAATATTTTTCCATAAAAATAGAAAACATGGATACTAAAAATATAAATTGGTTTTTATGTAAGTGACAATTTTAGATATTGCAGCGGCATAGATCTATATGTCGTGAATTTCTTTGTTTCAGGGTAAACAATACACAAATATAGAAGCATCATCAGATTTCAATGATCTCTGTATAATACCAAACACTGGCTTATGTATGATGGCCGTTGAAGATCCTAAAATGCAAATATATTATGTTCCATCACTAGGTATGTATGAAAATAAGGTTAACAGATTATACTGACACTAGGCAGGTATAATAACTAACTATGAATTCACGTGGTATTCAAGTTGCATGTATTATTGTCTTAGCTAAGTTACAAATACTGGAAAATATAAATTAATAAAAAACCTTATCCGAGAAAATACCAACAAAAATAGAGTGTATGTGTGTAATAAATTGACCTTATTTTCAATGTTACACAGGACCTGCTCCAAAATGGTGTTCGTTCTTAGATAATTTGACAGAAGAACTAGAAAGTTCTGCCGTACAGACCGTGTACGATGATTATAAATTCATCACTAAGCAAGAATTAGAATCATTAGGTTTGGATCATCTTTTGGGTACTAACTTACTGCGAGCTTATATGCATGGGTAAGTTTAATGTTGAAATTTAAATATAATTATTTTTTTAATTTATTATGACTTTATTTAAAAAATAAGTTTTTTTTTGTTAAAATGGAGGTATACTTTATTACTAAGCTTAGGCTTAGAGTAACTTTTAGTACTTTTTTCTTTAATCAGTAACGAAAATAAATATTTTTCCAGATACTTTGTGGATGCACGATTGTACAAGAGAGCTAAAACGATAGCAGATCCGTTTGCTTTCGAAGAATACAAGAAGCGTAAAATACGAGAAAAGATTGAACAGGAGCGTCCCGCGAGACTCAAAGTTGATGACAATCTGCCCAAAGTCAACAAAGAACTCGCTTCGCGATTACAAAACGTTGAAATTAAAAAGAATAAGCAATCAAACAATTTGCTTAAAGATAATCGATTTAAGGTAAAGTATTTTGACGATATTTAATATTATTAAACCTCGTCTTGCTGTTGCTACACTTTTTAAAATAAGAAAAAATGTAGTTGATATGCTTTTTATAGTAAAAATTTTAATATATCAAAACTCCTTTCACAATCTATTTTTTTAATGCAAAGTTCAAAAATTTAACATTTTTTTCTAATTGCTCAATTTATTTTTAGGACCTGTTTGAGAATCCCGACTTTGAAGTTGATAAGGAAGCTGATGAATATCGTTTACTGAATCCCGTGCTGTCGAGACTCGACAAGAAGAACACAAAGAAAGTCAAACAAGTAATGGATGTAGATGAGGTAAGCTATTTCATTTTATTTTCCACCAGCTGATATCTGTGTGTTCCAAACATAATTATGGCAAAAGTCTTAGTAGCAGTAATTTTTTTTATTTTTTTTTTAATTTACATAAAAATCTGTCATGTGGCTAAGGTATTATTTATGCGAGACAAACATACAAACATTTTTTTATTTGCCTCATTCCCAGGTTGAACATGTGGAAGAAGAAAAAGACTCGGATATCGAATTGTATGAATCGAGTGAAGAAAGTTCTGACGATGAAAAAATGTGGGCCAAAGATATGAAGAAACAACACAAACTTATCAGAAACAAGAAGCAAGAGGAAGATAGAGAAGAAGAGTCTCGAAACGAAAAGGTGTATGAATTTAGTAATGCGCCTAAGCTTACTAATATAAGAAGCATTACTAGAGTTAGTAAGACAAGTTTAGGGGAACGACTAACAAAAGAAGGTTTCACAACAATGGTAACTGGAACAGGCGGAAATAAAGAAATGAAGTTCTCAATGCGCGGCAAAAAGAATGTTTCCGATAATCAAAAATCAATGAAAAAACACTACGAAGAAAGGAAACAACTCGTCAGAAGAACAGGATTTTTATCTAAAAAGAAACTGCCTAGAAAGTAACACGAATTAAATATATTTTGTTAATATTACATGGTGTTTTTTTGAACTCACCTATTCAACTAAATAATACTACGCTGGCGCAGCGACCCAAAGTGGGTCTTGCCCTCCGAGACAACAGATCGTCAAAATCGCCTGTTCAACAAAATACGTAATTTTAGTCCACATAACCATGGGCTGGCAATGTTGAAACGTTACAAAAACATACATCTATCTTTGTTTTTTAAGAGAATGACAGACATCGTATATGTGTTTCAGCAGTGGAAACGGATTTTGTAATAATATTTGAACTTACCACTATACAACGAGCAGTTGTCTCAAAACAATCGAAAATTAGAGCATTTCCTTGATCAAAAATTAACAAATTGCGATAAATTAACAAAATGCGAGTAAATACATATTGAAAAACTTGATCAATATCGTATCACAAATTCAACTTTCGTAATTAAAAACGATTTTGTATTAAAATATTTTGGAGAATTAACTGGACATAAAATATTATTCAAAGAAACAGAACGATTTATATAAAACAAAAGTACCTCGTGAAAGTTTTTTATCAGTATAAAATAGGGTTATCGAAGTTCAACGGAGTTATGATAATGAACCATTGCTTGTTTTGTTTTCTTACCGAGACAACTTTCCTTTTAGTCAATATTATACAGTTTAATTACATTAAATAGGTACTACACTACACTATATTACATATGCAGTAATTTTTATTTATTATTTTTAAACAAATAATTCACAGAAAAAATAAAACGTTTAACACTTAATGTCATTTCCAACCAGTCTTAATTTTGAGATCATCATAAAAGTATAAATTCTTCATTAAAACATAAATATACATTTTTGATTCCAATTATATCTATATGAGTCACAAAATTAAATAACAGCAATATCATATCTCTATTTTAATTAATTTATACAACTACGTAATAAACAATTTGTCTCAAACAGAGGCGGTTATTTACCTCTGACTCGTAACTTTCATTGCAAGTATGCATTTAAATACAGTGCATTGTTATTTATTTAAAGGTTTGGTCGTCATACTAGGATTTCATATTAGCATGAACAAAATAGAGGGTATTTGTAAATATCTACAGAAATCTCGCAAGGTGATTTGTTAAGAATTTAGTGTGTAGAAGATAATGCAAAACGACAATGGTTCCTACGGAAGCGGTAAGTAACAGTGCATATAAAGAAGCGAAATGAAAATAATAGAAAGTCTAACTAAAGGCTAGTTATCTTTCATATAATATGGTTAATAGTAATTAATATGTAGATATTGGCTATTAAGTGGATAATGTGAGTTTGTTTTCGCGATTGCGCAGCCAGTGATCTGCTGGACAGCCATGTGCTGGGCAACGAGAAGCTGTGCCGCGCACCCGCCATGGAAACGTCGCGGCGATCGAGTCTCGGCGCCAACAGTGTTGAGGTCAATTGTACTAATTACATTTGATAATACGCCATGTTCATGAACTATCGCTTTTGACTAATAAAAAATATTAGTTCATATTACATGTTATCAGCATAATGAAGTTCAACAATCGAATACATTTTTATGCATGTAGATATTTGATATATATCTTCATTAATTTATTTAACATATGCTGGTTTTTGTGTTAAACCACATGAGATTATGTTACAGATATTATAAATGCGAAAATTTAGATGGATGGACGGATGTTTGTTAGAAATTTATCTCCAGAACGGCTCAACAGATTTCTATGAAATTTGGCGTGTATGTAGAACATAGTCTGGAAGGTCACATAGGCTATCTATATGTTTTTTGGATGCTTGCGTTACGTTTTTGTATTTCTTTTGACGAGCTTTTTGCACGATTTTTGTTTTTGAAGAGAAATCTTCGAAAGATATCCCATTTTCTTGTAAGAAGTTAGGAGTTTACAAGGGATAAGTGCGATGGAAAATACACCAAACCATGCTACAAAACGCATCTTACGTCTTAGTTGTAATATATAAGTATGGTGCTTATTTGACAGATTGGAGAAATAACTGAATCTCCCGACACGGAATACATGAGCACATCCGCTATATTACATTACTGCAAATCTAAGGTATTATAAATTTGCGAAGTTTTATTCAAAACACTTACTCAAATACTAATAAGTTGTCTTTTTTAATTTCAGATATTAGTACCGTATTTAAAATTATTAACAATAATGGGTCTGAGACCCGTGGTGGACGCTTCCAACTCATCCAAATATGCCATTTGCTTTTCGCATTATCATTCTGCACAAGTAGCAGTTTTAATGTTTTTTGGGTACATTTTACAATATATGGCTTGCTTCAGGTAAATATAACACGTTTAGAAATAAATTGAAATTACTATGCCACAACCAAATCTGAAAAATTAGTTAGAAATGTTTACCACAAAACTGTAAAAATTGTGGCATAGTATACAACTCTCTTCGTTCTCCCTGATTAACTCATAATCTATCAGAGTTCTTCCATTAGAAATATAGAGAGATATTGAAATCTGACATTGTTTTTTTTTTAGACGAGACAGAGGATTTTGTTACAAATTGGTGCCCCTAGCTATGACGTCTTCTTTGGAATACGATACATACAAACAAATATGTTACGGCAATGTTACTTTAACGTACATTGGCCCAAGCGTTCTTCACTTCATAGGTTTTCTGTACGCCCTCTATTTGTTTAGAATATCTGATAACGAACAGTTACAAAATCTTATGGAAAGGGTAAGTTTTTATTCGTTAATAAGTTAAAATCAATTTCTTGTACAGAAAGCAACTTTAATAGTTATTGTGAAATTGTGATTCTTTACGAAAATCAATTTGTATTACACGTAGACTTCCTAACAACCTCCGTTTTCTTTTGATTCTTCCTTTGAATGTAACAATTTGAAAAGCAACAGAACTTTTAAAAATAAAAACAGAAAATGCTGGCAGTATCATGTTACAACCAATATACAGGTGTTGTGATAGTAAAAATCGGTTTAACAAAGTTAAAATACATGTTGTTCACAGGTGTTCCTTTTGTCTTCATACGCACCGCAAGGCAGCGCCACCGCGAACCCAAAGCGCTTGCTGCGTATGTTGTGGTTCTTTATAATATTAAGTATTATCTGGATGTGCATCTCTCTGTGTTCAGTCAACTTGATGCTGGCCAGAGGAACAATCATGTTTAGATGGATGGAAACGAGGTAATCTGATATCACCGCGAAGTACAACTGTCGATACCTGTAATATATTGCAGGATTGATGTTATACATGTATTACGACATTGGAAACTTAACAATTCTATTATTATCAAGTTTTACAATTATTTTACGTCTATTTATTATTGATTAAAGTTTATTTTGTTTAATAGTTCGAATGAGATGAGATTGGGGTTGAAAATACTGCTTATAATCTGCACGTTGATCCACGACATGGTACAGGCGACGGTGATCACCAGCTACTGCCTACAGGCGCAGCTGCTGCAAGCACACCTCATGTTCCTGCGGGAACGCCTGCTCAACAGGACTATCACACCATTGAACTGGATGAGGGTAAACAAATGTACCTTTTTCTTTCAACGGTTGTAGTAACAAAAAACTGGATACGAAATATTTGCTATATACACAAATGTATGAATGTCCGGTACAAAATTAGGCCAGTGTGACAGTCGCCAGGATGTAGATTTATCGCTCGTTATATTTGTATAGTTGTTGTATGTCGGATATTTCCTGCTTTTTTATCGTGTGCGGAATTTGTTGACTTTCGCAATATCCTCCAAGTTAGATGAAAGAACAAAATAAATGAAAACATTACTTAGTTTTGACATACTTATTTCGTCAATCACAACTGATGAATGTTTAAAAAACTGAGTAAGGAAACGTTTGAATTACAGGAAATAGCAGAATTTCGTAAGTTGCTAAAATATTTGAACGACGAGCTGGCGCCGGCTGTATGTCTGTTCACTATAGTGAACGTATCGTGGGCGGCGTCCGGCCTCATGTGGCTACTCGACCTCGACAAGGTGGACACGGAGACGGAGCCCATAGCGGGCATCAGCATCCTCAACCAGTTGCTCTGGTTGGCAGCTGTTATAGCACCATTTGTGCAGGTATGTTATTATTACGTAGTGTCCCCGATTCGGCATCATACCGAATATCTACGATACCAGAGTAATTGACGATAACTTCTTTTACGAGTACTCTCTTTGTTGCAAGGATACTAAGTTGTATTGTTTGCAAATATTTCTGCAAATTTTTATCTCTGTTTTTACCGAAGGATATGAGAGGGATACCTATAAATTATGGTATCGGTTTTTCTTCAGTGATAATTCCGGTTAGCCTAAGTTACAAGATATACGTTAGCCCATGCTAGTTTGTTGTATTCCTGCTAACTAAATACTGTAATATCATCAAATTTAATATTTGTACTACAGGCGGCGCGTTTGTCGAAAGAGTGTCGGCGCACGCAGTCTGTGGGTCACGAGCTGTGTGTGCGTCCGTTCCTGCACCAGGACACGTCGCATGAAGACATCAGCGCGGTGCTCATGTACGCCGCCACACTCAAATTGCGCGCCAAACTCTTCTGTCACCCAGTTGCTGGAAAATACGTCTGTCTCGCTCTCACACTCGCTCTCATCATACTCTTCGCACTCGGCATGTGTCACTATTTACAATGATTCGCAGATGATTTAATTCGATTTAAATTATCGTGTAACTATAATTAATGATTAATAATAAAATAATTTTTGTTTTTTTCAAGTCTTTTATTTGTTTACGACATTTAGATTTGGCACTACGGATATAACAATTAATATTTCATTGAAATATGCAATAATTATATATCGTATAATTTCCGGCCTCTTATTTATTAGTTGAATAAATATATTTGTTATTTGAGTAAATAAACATACATATTCTTAAAAAATAATGATTATATAAAATTATAAAAAAAAACAAAGATATCACAATGATAACGAGTTAATAAATCTAAACTTAATAACATAATTATAATAGATATTTTGAACAATTAAATTAAATTTATATATCTTTATATAAAATCATTCGAATCAATACTTCAGAGTAACAACTATTCTAAAACATTTAGAAATTTAAAAACATCCAATTATAATGTAACGTATGTTCGAAATAGGCAACATCGAAGAGTTATGTATTTCTATGAGTAATAATAAGTATGTAATTTTTGCCGATAAAATAATGAACGATGAACGACGTGACTTGATGAACGAATCTATGATAGACTCTACTAAAACATTTAGCTACTGAATGAAATGAATGATTTGGTACGATGACTTTTTGCCATTTTCTAAACCATATTTCGACATCTACATTTTTATATAGATTGTGGTCAAGAGACCTTGTGCATGTTATGCGTAAATTCAAAGTCCGATTTCACCCTGTATAAGTATAGTAGGGTATCGGGCGTTTTACTTGTATGTAAATAAATTTTTTATGAATTTTCAATTACTAGATTTTTGTTATATACTATGTTAAGATGGCTTAAAAAGCTGAATAGATTGATGTTGATATCTTTAACATTCAACTACGTAAAAACAAATTTGAATATATATTTTTCTTTTACAACATTTAAAAATCTATTAACATACATCTAAACGTTTAGAATTTTTTTTTTAAATTGTGAATAATCTCTGGAACAAGTTCGTAGGAGGATAAGAAGTTACCAACACTATTTATCTACTCGCAACTGTCAAAGATATATATAGATTAAGAATACATCATACAATACAAATTACTAATACAATCTTCGTTTGAAAACAAGTTAAGGAGGGAAAGAAAAGGTTGATAGAGGAAGGTTGGGGGAAGGAAAGAGACAGATGAAAGAAGTTGCTGGTTGTTTAATCGTTGTTGTGCGGATGTTCGAGGTGTGTGCGCCACCAGTCGTGCAGGTGGTGAAGTGCGGGCCCGGTGCCCCCCGCGCCCGCCGCGCCGCCACCCCCAGACCCGCTGCCCCCCGCACCCCCCGACCCACCCTGACCGCGACTGTTGCTCTTCATCACCGCTAATAACAATATTTTTTTTTCGTAAAGCAAAACCAACATAATATTACGATGAAAATTGCAATAAAATCTAACAAATTATGAAAATAACTTACGTGGAGACTTTTTGTTCAACGTTGGATGTGGGTCGCTCAGGGTCGGTTGTAGATACTTCTTCACGGGACTCTCCGGTCTGAAACATTGTTTTTTTATACTGACTGATCATTATTTTTATTTATGTCAATGCTTAAGTAAACTGTTATACCTGGGCAAGGTAACCGAGGGCAAGCCGGGTCTTTTGAATTGCCCCTTCGTAGAAGATCGCTTCGGCTGAGAGTCAAACGACGAACTTATATCTGTAACACATATTACGAGAAAATAATATTCAATAAACTACAAAAGACATTCCATTACTATGGTATTTCAACTTAAATCAGTTTTAAAGTCAATATTTCGAAATACTAGGTGTCGCCCACGACTCAGACCGAGCAGAATAAAAAAAACCTCCATTAGTAGCCTATGCGTTCTTCCAGATTATATTCTACATGTAAGTCGATATTCAATGAAATTGTGTCAGCAGTTCTGGAGATAAAATAACGTCCATCCAACCATCCATCCATCTAAACATCCATATTTGCAATATTAGTACGATAAGATGTATGTTTCATCAATAAAGAATAACTCACTGGACATAATAGGTTGGGATGTGGACTCAGTCATCTCCGTGCGGCCCGCGTTGGAAACGACCTAAAGAAATTATAAACATACATTAAAAAAATAATACACAAATTGTATAAAAATAAGATGTATGTATATCAAAACTGACCTGGGCTTCAGCTTCTTTCTCCTTGTCAGTTTTCTCATTAGGCATGTCAATGATCTGTTCGTTGGTCTTCCTCAGGCCGGCGATCAGGCTCGTCTGTTGTTTCTACATATGTTAAAGAAATAATATTTATGTTTACAATATTATTGTATTTGCACAAAACATTTTGGACAAATAATGACCAATCAAGCAATTCCTTTTAAAGAAGTAAAAACCCATGACCTCATCAAAATCGTTTTAATATGTAAAGGTAATTAAATTAAATCCAACTAATAAAATATTGTTAGTATAAAAGGGTTAGTTACATTGGTGTTGGCGCGTATCTTCTTGAGGCAGCCCTCGAGCCAGGTGCGTATGGTCTGCTTAGCCACCTCTTCCTCTATCAGGAACTCGAACTCCTCGCGCGCCAGCAGCTCCTCCATCTGCAGCGACTTGCGGATGTCCACAGTGCGGTACGAAAGCATGCTGCAAATGTTACCACTGTTAGTGTTTGCATACTTCACGTGGACACCTTACAGTAACTTGAATTGGCTTGTCCTAATTTAAGCCCTCGTTCCCTTCCCACCCTTTTCGATTTGGCGGAGGAAGGGACACATAGGAAGAGGACTTCCTCTTAGAAACAGAAATAGGATACTTATCCTATTTCTGTGCGTCTCCTCCAGTCCGTTGATTAAAGGGAGGCAATGCATCTTCAATCGCAGATATTCATGAACTGCGGTCGATTTGCTATTTCAGCGAATCTAGGTGGTCGCACGTTTGTTTGCCACCTTATAGACGTAAAGTGTACGATACAGTATTGCACGTTTGGTACGGAATGGTACAGTGCAGTACGGTACGGTACGGTACGGATGGGGCACGTACTTGAGCACGTCGTGGAAGGTGACGTCCTCTCCGTTGTGTAGACGCTCGAGCTCGTAGCACATGTACTTGAACAGCAGCCGCTCCTTGTGCGTGTCGCACTCCAGCCGACCCTTCAGCAGTCGCAGGATGAACTTCACCTATACATACATACCAACACTCTTTAACTCATTTTGAATATTAATGATAAAAAAATTAAAGATGTATAAGGTCCCATGCTTCTGTATTTCCTAAAAAAAAAACACAAAAATTTAGCTAAAACTTCGTCAGGTTCTATTGACCTTGAATAGAATTTTTTTTCAAGTATCTACTAGCAAAAAAAATCTTTTTCTTTCTTTCTCAGCCGTAAAGATTAAAACAATATAATTACCTTCCTGACTGGTATGACTCCCTTCTGATGGACGTCGACAATATTCCAGGTGTTCTGGAAGTTTCTGATGTCGGCATACGACAGCAGCGCGTCTTCCTCGTTGGAGTAGAATAATGAAAAGTTTTCCATTATTATAGCTGCAACGAAAGTATACCTCATGTATATTATGTTTACTGTAGATAAGAATATAATGATTTTGAAAGGAGGGGTAGAGTAAGGTCTAGTGGGAAGGGGTCTAGGGGTGTGGGGTGTACAGACCGACGAGGAGGTTGAGCACGATGTATGTGATGATGACGTAGAAGGTGCAGAAGTAGGCGAGCGAGGCGGTGAAGTTGCCGCAGTCGGTCTCCCAGTAGTTGTCGGCGGGCGTGCAGTAGGGGGGCGCCACCATGCAGTCGTGCATTATCTTGTTCCAGTCCTCGCCCGTCACGATGCGGAACAACATCGCCACGCTGTGGATTGGCGAGTTGAAGTTCGCGCGCCTGTACACATACAACATTTACATTAAACTTTATATACAAACAATCTATCTCTCTCTCTCTCTCTCTCTCTCTCTCTCTCTCTATCTCTCCCTCTTTTGCTTCCTATCTTATTTCCATTTTATTAGGTACCACAGCAATGGAAATTCCTACTTATCATTTGTTGATTTAAATAGTAATATTAAAGAACGTATAGCCTTAACGATGACGTCATTGACGTAGAACATTCTCATTCTATTGAAGGTATGCAAATGTTACCTTCCGATTCCTTCGCCGTACTTAACGTTGCCGAAGACGATGGTTCCGGCGAGCGCGTAGAAGAAGACGAGCAGGAACATGCCGAAGATGATAAAGAAGCTCTTGCAGACGCTCACGCCGACGGTCAGCATCAGCATCTTGAGCGTGGTGTGCTTGCCCGTGATCGTGAAGAACCGCAGGATCACCACCATGAATCCCACGAAATACGACAGGTCGTTCTAAAACATAAAACATACGAAATTGCAAGACCGCTAACTTATTTCTTATTGAGTTTTCAAAATGATTTCAAACTAAAAGGAAAGTATATTAGCAATGTAACATACTGATTTAATTTGCTATATCATACTTATATTTTAAATGAGAATATTTAAATGGATTGATGGATGTTTGTTTGAAGATATCTCCGGAACGGCTCCATAAATCTTGATAAAATTTTGCACCGATATAGAACGTAGTCTATAAGAACACATAGGCTCCTCCTTTTTTTAATTCCGCACAAACGGATTCGGCTAGTAACTTTATAATGGTGAAATAAAATTTTCGTTTTATCGATAACAAAGAAACAACAAACTCTCATTGCGCAAATGATACCTTGAGCGTGAAGTGCATGAATATCCAGATGCAGCCGGCGAGGGTGACGAGCAGATCGTAGCGGTTGCGGCGGCTCTGCCAGTACCCGCGTGGAGTGAACGCCACCGTCTTCAGCACCACCTCCACCACGAACACCAGCGTCAGCAGCGCCGACGTCAGCGCCAGCCGTTCCGTGTTCGACGAGTGCCGCGACCACTGCGGACGAGCATATACGCTATGTACAGTCAGCTTCTTTCGCGGTATACCACTTTCAAATATCCCTTTCCTTGGAGCGTAAAACTCCGCATACTCACGAATTATGTATGTAATATTTATTACCGTGACGGCCAGCAGGGCGCTGTTGATGAGCACGACGATAGC